GAATCTCAATAAGATATTAGTTAGCGTTAAAACTGTAATATATTAAAGGGGTGATGAGAACCTTTCGCTCCAGGGCACTCCAAGCTATCTCAGCTATGGACACAGACCACGCTGGGTATTTCAGCTATGGACACAGACCACGCTGGGTATTTCAGCTATGGACACAGACCACGCTGGGTATTTCAGCTATGGACACAGACCACGCTGGCTATCACAACTATGGACAAAGACCACATGGGTGTCAACTATCCTGGGCGACTCATCTATAGACAAATGTCATCGTGCATGTTGACTATCAAAGCTAGCACGGCCATGCCTAAGACCTCGTTGATGTTGACTATCCAGGCAGGCTCTGACGTATGCCCATACGAAATAGTTTCAATTCATACATGTGTATGAATTGGACATGTATTATGTACATTAACCATTGTGTAACTAGCTTCAAGAGATTGTCACTTAGTTAAACGAACTATGGGGTACAGTTTCTGAACCCATTATGTGCCTCTGTAACCCTTTCCACCACCACCCACGGGATGGGTATGGGGTGCAAAATGAAGAAAGAAATTGAATTCATACCCATCCATACTCATTCATATATATGTCTAACCTACGCTTTGGATAATCCATCGAACTTTCCTCTATTAATAAGTTACCCCCATAATTTATACCATAATTTCCCAACCATGTTTCCAAATCAATACTTAGCCAGGCCTTTTCTGAATCCAAACTTATCCTGTTAACATCCACTATTTCGAGTTCTATTTTGTGTTGTATACCCAAAACTTTATTCATACCCCTATATCCAAATATAAACCTTAACTATGTACCCTCCCTACCCACTCCTTCAATTGAACGTAAATTGTTTTCATAAGGGATCACTTCAATTTCTGGGATTAACTTTGTCATCCATCTGATGAAAAAAACTTTTTTTTATTTATTAAAAAATGTAATTTTAAAAATGACGTCTTGTACTTATAACTAATATCCTGTGCAGGTGGCACCACCTATGTTTCACGTACGACCACACTCAGCACCTGATCAGCACGTACGTGGACGGAAGCCTCAACAACCACCAGAAATATGATATCGTCCGCACTGTGTCTGGGGTGAAGGCTCGTCTGGGTCAGGGTTATGTGGCTCGTCGGAGCTTCAGTGGAGATCTAACGCAGGTGGGTTCATAACATGATTACTCTTGAGATCTGTATCTTCTTCCTATACTTTTCTCTATTTATGTTTGGAATAACCATTGTTTTCGTGATTATTTGATCTATTAAGTAGATTTATATTGTTTTGAAAATTTATGTATTCTTCGGTTTAGAGATAAACAATATTTTTATAGTATGGAAGCCATTCTGGCATTTGACATTAATCAGTGAGAAAGAATGAGTTATATACAGTATGTGTAACCTTAGCTATTTTCAATTTGTTTGGTGAATGTAAACAAAATCTCAATCTTCATTTTTAACCTAGAGTTTTGCATATAATAAAATTTGGTTTCTCCTCTTCAAGGTGATTAATAATAATACTTTCCTATTAATATTTGTATTTCATTTATTGTATTTTATGCTATTTATATGATACCTTTGTGTGAAGGTACCGAGCCGTGCCAATTCTCCACTAAGGAACATGTAATACATATTTTTCCATAAATCAGTTCATGTGTCCGAGACACCTTGTATTTACTCAATTCAATACGAATCAACTAGTAGTAAAATAGAGAACTCTGCCCATAACAGGATTGAATAATCCTCACAGGACCTAAAACTCTTACAGCAGTGAGATATTTCACATAATATACATTTTGTAACTAACACAGAGTATACAATGGCTGGATATATCTATGACTGTAAATATCTAATGCAAAATATTCTTTGCCTTCCATCAGGTGAACGTGTGGGACAGGCCGCTGAGTCCGGAAGAGGTGCGGAGTATAGCAGACTGTCAGAGTGACCCACAGGGTAACTATGTGTCGTGGGAAGGCGGCTGGAAACTCCAAAACGTCACCAGTTATAATCTGTCCCTGACAAAACTTTGTAGCGGAGATGCTGGTCCAGCATATTTTTGGTTTGAATGGAGTCCTTACCCGGTGGCGGACTATCTCTGCCTGGCTCTCGGCTCTCTGCTGCCCAAAAACAAAACGGAGGCGATGACTGCTATGACGGTAGCAAAGAACTCCTCATATGACTTACGTACTTGCGACAGTGACTATTGGCTTGCTATCAACGACATAGATGAAGAAGGAGTGTGGAAGATAGGTAAAAATCCCGTGGATATGAAAACGGTCGGCTGGGGGCCACAGGAACCAAACGGTTTACAGTATGAAAATTGTGCAGCAGCAATTGAATGGGGGGTATCCGATATTGATTGTCCATCAAACTTAAAATGCGCTGTCTGTTCTATCAATGAGCAGCAAAGGTTCTCTTTTCTTGGGACATGTGAAAATGAACTGCGAAATTTTTTCTTTGCTCCTTTTCAGTATAATGTAAGTGAAATAGTTTTTATTGGCTACGGTGCTTACCTCATTCAGAAAGTAAACGGAATATGGACCTGGATTAATCACGTCACCAACACAACAATTGCTGAGATGGAGGAATTTTTCCCTGACTACCCTATGGGTCGACGATGGTGGAAGCTGCACCAACCCGTGTGTGACCAGAAGCATGGCGGCCGCCGTCTCCTCTTACTGTCGCCCTGTTCATATGATGACTTTACCTGTGATGACGCCACCTGTATTCCTCTCCACAAACGCTGCGACCTCAAGTACGACTGCCGCGACAACACTGATGAACTTCACTGCAATCTAGTGGCTTTTCCAGAGGAATATCAGAGCCATCTGCCGCCTCGTGCTGGCGGAAGGGAAGATAAAAGCTTGCCCATAATACTTACCATAGATGTAGATTTCTTATCTGTGAGGACCATGGACATGGTCATGGACTTGTCTTACGTATTGGCGTTAACATGGGTTGACAATAGGCTGAAGTACCAGAACTTGAAGGTGAACAACACGCTTAACATTCTACCAGACGACACTATGCACAAACTGTGGTCTCCACAAGTGAGTTTTGTCAACACCAACGGTAACCAACACACACTGATGGACACAGACACCACCATGCTGGTGGACCGCTTCGGTAATGCAATTAGCAGGGATCCAGCTGCTCCTGCTGAGGGTAAGTTGACACACAGTACCATCCACCTCTTTTTCACTGTTGGTATTCTTCACAACAGGTTTCCAGGACGAGAGAAAGATTAGAAGGTAAATACGAGCCGTGAGCACTTCTCACACACATTTATTTTGACTAAAATATAGTACCAGAATCGTGAAAGATTAGCGAACGAGGAGCCGACAGTTTAGTGGGATAATTCTCTTGCGTTTAACCAGTCTAATTTTCTATCATCAAATTTTTTGAATCGATAATCGCAAAAGGTATTCATATGCATCTTTAATAATAAAGATTAATAAAGGATTCACAATATTGCTTCCACTAAGGGCCACTAGTGTTTAACAATTTTATTTTTATTTTCCACCATTTTTTTTATGAAGATTGTAGGACGGATTCTGATATTATGTGTTTTATGTACCTAGACTTAAGCAAAGCCTTGAATACAGTGCCTCTCAATAGACTGATTAAAAAGACTGAGGTACAAATAAACAAAGACCCAAAAGTGATTCCATGCACCCGCCAAACCCACTGTTTATGAATGAAAAACAGTTTATACACGACTCACAACTGTTGACGTTCGAACACTTCCGGAACAAGTGCTTCACTGACGAATTTTGTTTGAACCACAACGCTATGAATGCTTCACCCAAGTACTACAAATACAAATAATCGTCAACAGAACCTAAACACCTAACCTAACCTATGCCTATATATGTGCAATATGCTAATAAAAATATTATAATATTAATTTATATTTGAGAAAATTCCCCTTTTGAATGAACAGCATGTAAAAATTTATGAGTGCGTCTGTGGGGTCGACCGCTGGATGTAATGGACTTGAGTCGAGGACGGGTTATCTTCTTCTTGAGGTTATCTTGAGATGATTTCGGGGCTTTTAGTGTCCCCGCGGCTCGGTCCTCGACCAGGCCTCCACCCCCAGGAAGCAGGCCGTGACAGCTGACTAACACCCAGGTACCTATTTTACTGCTAGGTAACAGGAGCATAGGGTGAAAGAAACTCTGCCCATTGTTTCTCGCCGGCGCCTGGGATCGAACCCAGGACCACAGGATCACAAGACCAGCGTGTTGTCCGCTCGACCGACCGGCCCCGGTTGCTATAAATGCTTCAACCAAGTTCTTCAAATACAAATATGCGCCAACAGAACCTAAAATACCTGGGTCCAGCTCAATGTCAGGTTTATCATGCGAGTGAGTTTGGACGGGTAGAGATCTGCAATGCAATATGTAATTATCAAAATGCGCCGCCAAGCTTGGACGACTATTTTGCGATTATATCTAAAATGTCTAGAATAATATATAAGTGACCACAAAATAATGCATGAAACTTAATTTATACTGCTCTGGGCAATGAGGTGATATTTAAATTTTGCCTCCACGCTGCACACATTCAGTTCATGAATGTGTTATTCATCTTGTTCTGTTTGCACTTCATCACAGCTACGGGAATTTCGAAACTGTATATAACTACCACTTAACATCTTAACTACCACTGAACACAAACTCACGTTTGTGTTCAGCTGCCAGGAAGGCACAATAGCCAAGAGTGATGTTGGTTCAACGTTCAATCAACGCTAATATCAATGGCGTTGAATTGGCGTTACTGTTGGATATTATGTCCATTGGGTATCAGCTGAAGTTTATTTCAGAGATCGCGAGCGAGCACATATCTGTGCCTACGGGGATTAAGCTCCAACCTGAGTCCGGCTTGCCAATCAGCTCGTGAAAAGTTTCCTGCACCCTAAGGCTGTCATATCTACTTATCAGGCTGTGTTGAGTCTGCCTGCACTACTGAGTTACATAACAAAATGCCACTTACCTGGGCACTGCAGCAGAGGAGCTCCGAAAGCATGGCATGAATCGTGCGGCCCGAGTACATGTCTCTAGAATACACACAAAATCGAGACTGTTAATATGATGCTATTCTCATATTCATATAGAACAGCACTCTCTTACTAATTTGTGTTTAGAGAAGATCAAACATACTTAAGGGACATGCTAATACTGATTTAATTCTACAACCCCCATCCTTCTAAAATGATACTGGTAGTACTTATAGGAAATATTTAGTCAAATGTACAAAATTGGATTGTTGCAGCCAACAGTGTTCACGCTTTGTACTTTTAATTTTGGAGAGGGCATGAAAAAGTAAGCCAAAAACTAAACTTAAAACATTCATAGACCTAGTAGAGCACATATATGTACTATATTAGACCTAGGACAGGACAGGTTAGGTTAGATTCTACATTTATTTTTCCATTTTCTTAGCATGCCATTTAGGCTACGTCAGTAAGACAAAACTTGAACATTTTGGGTCTAACGGTTCCTTTTGTACTTTCTACCTGACAGTTGTTATAAGTACTATCCATTTACGAGGAGCTGAATTGTGAGACAATATGCCACTTCCTATAACCCTTGTATTAACCTGTCCTCATATCTCTTCCAAGTGCAATATCATACTTATGATTACTTTGCCTATTACCTTGGCCACTCTTGTAGGCTTCACACTTCTTGATAATGGCCACAGCATTGTGTGGGTTGGATGTGATACAACAGAGATGAAAACTTTGTTTTGAAGAACTGGAACACAAGACAGCGTCATACCCTCACGGTGGCTGGGTTGAAACTGAGCAATTAACATTCGCTGCCCAGCTGGTCAGTTGCCAAGGATCATTTAATTGATTATTAAATTAATTAAATTATTTTTTTATTCAGGAAAAGTACATACATAATGTTTTACAAACGTAATGTTGGATTTATAGATAGAGCTAGTACATACAATACCTAAAGCCACTAATACGCATAGTGTTTCGGGCATTAATTTGATCATATTCGTATGCATAATTATCATATATCTATGATTTCTATAATACTTGTTGAAACATTTAGTCTTAAATACGATTTATGAGTGTAGATAGCTTATTTAACAGGATTGATTAATTAGGTAATTTGTCCTAAATAGACCAGAATAATTAGGCTCTCGTGATTACAACATTTATATTTAGTAAATTATTTGATAGCGAATCACGATTATTTTGCTATTACTTTTACAGTCCGACATTTATTTACGTCATAGTTGTTTATCAGGCATAATTTATTAATCGTGTTAATTATAAATTACACTGTATGCTGATACTTGAAAATGGGATACAATCACGTATCATGGTTCAGTATTTACGTATGGATGATAAGCGTCTGTTGATTTGACTGATGCCACCGGAACCCGCTATCGTTTATTGTCTACAACATACTCATCCAGCGAATGAGTATGTGGTAGTCATCTAAAATAATAGTAATATATTGCAAATTAATTATATTATTTTTGTTTTTATTGATACTGACCTTATTTCGCGTCAGACGGCATTTCATAATCGCCATCCTATTCCTTTGACTCTTGCACTTGCAGTGGATATCTTTTCTGGGGAGACGAATACGGTAACAGCCAAGAGGAAGTACGGTACAGTGTACATGTGTGACCTGGACCTCGTGCTCTACCCCTTCGATGTGCAGGAGTGCTATTTGCACCTCAGGATTACCTCCGCCACAAAGTCCTTCCTCCTCTTCGACGTACTCAAATCCTCCGTCAATATTTCCGCCAACAAGCTTCTGTTGGAGTATGAGGTGAGTCATCATGCAAGGTCATTGAAGCAGAGTAGCCTTGTGTTTGTCTGATTTTCGCGTCCACGGTGGGAGAAGTCTATGGGGTTTTGTCTGACGATCTGTATCATGCATGCTCTGTGAATCTTAAAGTGAAGCCGATTGTTTTGTATGTCTATATATGTTTTATCTACAGGGACTGAAGGGTGTTGTTTTACATCTTTTTTGTCATCCATGATGAAGGAAGCCTAGTATTACATGTCTTCATTTCTATCATCCTCGGTCAGGAAAATCTGGTCTGGTCTACTTTTATCTGTATCATCCTCGGTTAAGGAAGCCTGTCTGTGTCACCCATAGCGAATGAAGCCTAGTGTTATGTCTATCTTTATCTGTATCATACTCGGGCAAGGAAGCCTAGTGTTTTATCTCTCATTTTTTTTTTATCTGCATTATCCACGGTGAGGGAAACTTAATGTTAATTTATTATTCGACCCTAACTTTTATGGATTCTAATCGTTCTTTCACTCTAATTCTGAAACGCCTTATTAAAATTCAGCTCCAATTCTGACATGCCAAACGAACATTCTCTGACTTGAAAACTAATTATTTGTATATTTCTTAAACAAATACAATCTTTGACTTGTGCGCCACAGAGTTAAAAGTAACGTTTATATAAGGCTCGTATAGTTAACAGTTGAATGTGTTTATCTTTACAATATTAATGATTATAATTGTTGCCAGGCCTCAGCGGGAATTTTACATAAACAATTACATCTAACTTCCACACACGTTATAATTATAATGACAGCTAATAATTTTGCATTTCACCACCTATGACAGTTCAATTGGCAATACTAATGCTACTGATATTTCCCGCACCGCTGTCACTCTGCTTAATATTTCTCTTACTAGGCTATTCCCTCCGTTCCTCACTCCCACGTATTGCCTCCATCCCTAACACTACATTCGTGTCCCCCTTCTTCTCTGGTGATACCTACCTCGCTCCGTGTCTCTCCCATCACCTCTGGCCCCATCTACAACACTCCCCCGTGTCTCCCATCACCTCTGGCCCCATCTACAACGCTCCCCCGTGTCTCCCATCACCTCTGGCGCATCTACAACAGGTCGGGGAGGTGGTGCTGGTCCACGGCAGCTCTGGCATGTACAGTGAGGTGAAGGTGAAGGTGCCACTAACTCGTCGCTCGGGTTACGCCATCCTCACCATCTACATCCCCACCCTCGTCCTCCTCGTCGTCAGCTACGTCACCCTCTTCTTCAGACCCGTCATCTTCGACACCAGGATGATGTCTGCTCTCACCGTCCAGCTCGTCATAGCCACCTTGTTCTCCCAGGTACTCCATTGTGCAGGTGTTCTCCCCTATGTGTTATGCAGGTGTTTTCTCAGGTGTACTCACTTAGTTGTATTTGCGGGGGTTGAGCATCGGGTCTTTGTCGCCCCATCCCCCTCAACCATTAGTTAACAGGTGTACAGATTCCTGGGCTCTATCATATCTACATTTGAAGGTGCGTATGGAGTCAGACTCCACCACATTACTGCCTAATGCATTCCATTTGTTTACCCTGACAATGAAGAAATTCTGTATTATGTCTCTTGTCACTCATTTGGGTACTAAGTTTCCACCTGTGACCCCTTGTTCATGTTCCATCCGTGCTAAATAGTTTGTTTATATCTATCTTGACAATTCCTCTTGAGAATTTTGTAGTTGATAATCATGTCAATCCTGACTTCTGTTTTCTAGTGACGTGAGGTTTGGTTCCTTTCCTCGTAACTCATTCCGCTCATCTCAGGGGCTAGTCTGGTGGCATACCTTTGAGAATTTTCTTCAACTTCATCTTGACCAAACTATTTGCCTTGCTTCTTGCACTGAATTGTGTACAAGTCTCCAAACTTGATACATCAATTGTAAGTGCCTTTATCATCCTTAATTGCTATCAGCTCTGTAAGACATAACTGTAACATGGTCGTGTTTGAAGCTAGACACAAATACAACATTATTAATGATGGTAACAGAGTCTATTTCATGTGGACTCCATCTCATTTTGGCCTCTGAATGCATGATAGAGCTGATGAGTTAGCCAAAGAATTTGCCTTTAAAGGAGAAATTGAGTATAACCTTGGATTGTTAATAAGCATGAGTCTAGCTCTCCACACATGTCAGTTGTCTAATTTAGAAACTGTACTTGTGGTCGATCTCGAACCCATTGATAATGTGACGATGTGTATTGAATTTTGTAACTAGCTCATCAAGATTGTAATTTGCTTCGCTAAATGAGCTGTGGGGTTCAGTCCCTGAGCCCATTATGTTCCTCTGTAACCCTTTCCACTACCGCCCACAAGATGGGTATGGGGGTGCATAATAAATGAACTAAACTAGAACTTCATCTTGTATTTTAGATATGGACGCCATGCTGGAGGAGCATACTCCAGGATTAGCCTGACATATGGTATAAAGTGTTCTTAATGATACCCTACACATGTTTCTAAAGGCAGTTCTTATATGTTGGCCAACCTAGCATACGCCATTGATGATATCCTTGTGATATGGGCTTCAAAGGATATTTTTGGATTGATATCAGCCCCCATATCTTTCTGTCTTCTTGATTCTTGAAGGAATTCATCTCCGAACTTGTGCGTTGTATCCGGACTTCTGCTCCCTACACCAATTTTCATATTTTAACACTTATTTGGGTTAAACTCTAGTTCCCAGTTGTTGGACCATTCCTTCAGTCTATCCAGGTTATCATACATTATGTTTAATTGATATATCACGACATATTGATATATTTTATACATTCATACCTACAAAACTCTGTAAACTCTTCTAAACACTAGCCTATCCTAATGTATATATACACTGCAACATTTCAAACTTGTAATCCAGGTCTCTACCAATTTCGCCAGGTGTCAGCCTCGTTACCCAAGACTTCCTACTTCAAGATGGTGGATGTCTGGCTCCTCTTCTGTATTGGTATTACGTTCCTCACCATCATATTCCACGTCATGGTGGACAGCAAAGTAAACCGGTCTGGAGGAAAATCTGTGCGACCAACTGAAAGTTCCGTTACCACCAGCATCTTAGTGGGACAGAAAGGACTACCTCGGAAACCTGTTCCACTTGTTGTTCGAAGTAAATGGATGAACTTTGAGACAGACGAACAGAAGATGGTTATGCTAACGCGGATAACAATTCCTGTAGTTTTTCTCATCTTCAACTTTTGCTACTGGATATATATAGTGATTTATTGATCAGGTTATGAAGCCTCTGCTACTGGATATATGCATTGTCTTAATGATCACTGGCTATAACCTCATGTATAGGATATATATATTGATCAATGGCTTCAACCCATACCACTGCATATGCATATACTGATATTGATTACTGTCTTCAGCCTCTGCTACTGGACTTATATATACGCGGTATCAATTACAGGCTGTCTTAAATTATATAGGCGATTTATTAATTTGAAGCTACAGTCTTTACCATTTAATTTATGAGATAAGTTTAATATTATTTTTGTCTACTTACTTTTTTCGAGTTTTTAAGAATAACAGTGGAATATAATGATATTATTAACAATATTCTTTGCTACACATGTATAATACTTAATAATTTGAGTTAAAAAACATATATATATATATATATATATATATATATACACATATATATATATATATATTTATAATTAGGGAAGGGAGTACCACCTCTGGCTGGAAGAAGGGGTGGAAGAATATATATATATATATATATATATATATATATATATATATATATATATATATATATATATATATATATATATATATATATATATATATATATATATATATGTTTCTTATATATGTAGAGTTCTTCTATATAGTAATTAGTCACCATCATAAATATCTTTATCTGCAAGAATGTCTGTTCAATATTTCATTCAAAATGATTTACCAAAAATCTTAGCCAAATTCCCCCCAATTTGCTAACTGTAGGTAGTAACTAAGTGATTGTAATCTAATCCCCCACTGGATGGGGGACGGTGTACACGATAAACATATCAATTGTGACACGCTCTCCACATATGTCAGTTGCTTAATTTAGAAACTGCTTGTGGTCGGTATCGAACCCATTGTTGATGTGACAATGTGCATTGAAGTTTGTAACTAGCTCGTCATGATTGTAACTTGCTTAGGTAAATAAATTGTTAGGTTTAGTACCTGAGCCCATTATGTGCCTATTTAACCCTTTCCACTGCCGCCCATAAGATGGGTATAGGTCATATAATAAATAAACTATACTAACTGATAGAACCATCCACGTCTCACCAGGATGCCGAGGTTCCCCCGAAATTCCTCTCAACAAACTAGGTCCTCAGATTGTGAGGGCTCTTATTTTATTATTACTTCTTACCTAACTAGTGCAATATATTTTTGGACAGAGGACTCAATTTTTAACAATTGATTTGTAAATAAATTTACTCCTGTAAACGGTATACAGCCGTTTTAATTTTAAAATGTGAGAAGAGTGTTCCCTGCGCATGCGCAATCATTAGTGTATCGTGACGCCGAGACAGTTGGAACTTCCCCCTAAATTCTTCTCAACAAACTAGATCCTAGGATTATGATGGCTTTTATTATTACTTCTTACCTAACTAGGGCAATACATTTTGGTCAAAGGACTCAATTTTTAACAATTGATTTGTAAATAAATTTACTCTTGTAAACGTTATACAGCCGTTTTAATTTTAAAATGCGAGAAGAGCTTGCGCATGCGCAGGCTCTTCTGTGCATTAGTGTATCGTGACGCCGAGACAGTTGGACCCTGACGGCTTAGACCGGTAGTCCCACCCACACGCTCTCTACCTCCACCTCTACGTTGGTAATTGTGTCCCCGTTACTGTACGTCTTGTGTGTAGATATTGCATTGCTTACTCTGGCAATCACGTCACCCAGACAAGTATCTTGGTAAATTCAGGTAAATTTATGGACGAGAGATTGAGAAATGGGTGGTAGATTGGTCATGTGTGAGGGACAAGATTTGTGGCCCTCAGGATGTGTGGGTGATGAGTCCCGCCAACGACCGTTACTTTATTGTCCACTCAAAATTCAAATTCAAAAATTCAAAATTCAAAAATTCAAAACTCAACTGAATTTTGAGACTCGGCATTCATGAGTGTGGAGTGTAAAATGAGTAAGAGAGGGGCACATGAGGTCTATAGACTTCGGCAGATATATACACCCATATTGTATATACTAGCTCTTATCTATAAATCTATCAATTTTTGCAAAACATCTTGTATGTATGTACTTTACCTGAATAAACATTTATTTATTATTTATAATTATGAATTATTATATTTGATATCAATTATTGCGTGGTATGTGGCTATCTATCTCCACCCCTAACTGTTCCATCGTTTGCCTAGAAGAAACTGCTTGGGGGGTAACTATGGATGTTGTTGTTGTATGTTCTCGTCTGGACACACCTGAGACACTGAGCAGGTCACACTTGTGTAGGATAAACAGCTGTGGAGGCCATAGATGCATCAATAGAGGTAATGGGAATAATATGTCCCTCTACCCTGTCTATTGCTTCTGATCAAAGCTATTCGTAGTAAACTTTGTAGTTATATATATTCGCTAATAACACTTTCTCTTGATAATTATCGTTAATTTACCTATCCAATCATTTACAAAGTCTAATATATGTGAGGTGTGAATTTTTCTGTGGTTGATCAGTGTTTATATCCACCTTGATGCTGACTTGGATCCTGCTGGCGTTAGTGTAAATAAACAACATTTCTCAACAACTACAATGGATATCTACAAGTCAGGTAGACTGATAGTTAAATTCCTGAACATATCACCCATTTAGTATTCATTTGCTTTATCCATTTCAGTATTGCATCATTGATTCCATGTGTTTGTTGTGTATTTGGCCAGTCTTGTGTCTTGCCTTATCAAAAACCATACAGAAGGTCCTTAACAATTATTATAGGACATTTAATGTCCTTGTATTCATGCTATATACTATTGGGTTATGATACAAAAATAATGATTATATATGAGAACCTGGTGAACCATTTATTACTTAAGGATTGTGGATACATGGTTACAGGCAAGTGGAGTTAAGGACTGTAGATATGTATTATCAAAACCATCAATAATTTTTGGTTTGAAGTAAATTATCAAACCCAATTCCACTTCAGATAAACAATGTTAACATTAACCATCAATAATGATTGAAAGTTCCTTGGCCTATACATAGAGAAGAGACTAAACTTTAGCACCCACATACATGAGGGGTCCCACAGCATCCACATACATGAGGGTCCTGGTAGTATAATTGGGTTCGTTCTCTGCTCGCAATTAAGAATTCCGGGTTTGAATCCTGGGCGGCTCAGAAATGGGTTGGCGCATTTTCTATCACCTCATGCCCATGTCCACCTAGCAGAATAAGTACCCAGGAGTTAGTCAGCTTTTGGGGTTGCATCCTGGGGAGGGTCAGTAATCGACCCTAGGGGGGGATGGGGACCTCGATATAAGCCTAATATGTATTGTATATCTGTTTCCTGTTTACTGGCTGCCTGTTTCCTGACACTGAATTATTATTATACAACACAGGCAAAAAATCTCAAAAGCTGATGGTATACTCTCGAAAATTAGATATTATGTTTTCCATTCTGCTCTCCTCTCGTTATACTACTATAATCTATCCATATCTTACATACTATACATGTGCATGGGGGTTCAACCACTGCAAATTACCTCAAGCCCATCATCACTTGGCAAAAATCTGCAATCGGTACTGAGATTCAGATTCAGATTCAGATGTTTATTCAGGTAAGGTATATACATACAAGTGATGTTACAGTAATGGATTGATATATAGATAGAGCTAGTACATACAATGCCTAAAGCCACTATTACGCAATGCGTTTCGGGCAAGAAAACATTAATATCTAGAACTTAATACTAATTGAGCATAAAGAATAAAAGATGTTGAGAACAAATACAAATAAAGATAAAAAAAAAGGGGGAAACATGACTGAAAAAGCAGCACAAATACAATAGGTTGACAAACAGTGTTGATTAAAAAAAAAAAAAAAAAAGAAAATAACAGACATGGGTTGACAATAGAGGAGTGAGGTAGATTACAGGGAATTTATTAGGTAGTGTTTAGTTTTTATCTTAAACTGGTTGAGAGAGGTACAGTCTTTAACATGGTTGGGAAGGTCATTCCACATTCTGGGCCCCTTGATTTGCAGAGCATTTCTAGTTTGATTAAGACGTACTCTAGGAATATCAAAACTGTATTTATTTCTGGTGTGGTGCTCATGGGTTCTGTTACAACCTACTATGAAGCTTTTAAGATCAGGATTGGCATTATAGTTTAGCGTTTTATATATGTATAATACACATGAGAGAATGTGCAGTGACTTAATATCTAACATATTAAGAGATTTGAGTAGGGGTACCGAGTGATGTCTGGGGCCAGAGTTGGATATTGTTCTAATAGCGGCTTTGTGTTGGGTAATTAGAGGACGTAAGTGATTTTGGGTAGTAGAACCCCAAGCACAAATACCATAGTTGAGATAAGGATAGATAAGGGAGTAATAGAGAGTCACCAGGGCAGGGCGTGGTACATAATATCTGATCTTAGAAAGAATGCCCACAGTTTTTGAAACTTTTTTAGATATATTTAGAATGTGTCCCTGGAAATTCAGCTTGTGGTCAATGAGAATGCCAAGGAATTTGCCATCTAATTTGTTACAAATTTGGGTATTGTTTATTTTGAGATTTATAAGACTAGAGGATTTATTGCCAAACAGAATATAGAAGGTTTTGTCAATGTTAAGGGTGAGTTTGTTGGCAGTTAGCCAAAGATGGACTTTATTTAGCTCAGTATTTACTGTGGCATTTAGAGCAAGAGGGTCAGGACTGGAGTAAATGAAGGTTGTGTCGTCAGCAAATAGAATTGGTTTGAGGTGTTGGGAGGCATTTGGAAGGTCATTAATGTAGATGAGAAAGAGGAGAGGGCCAAGTATGCTGCCCTGAGGAACACCAATGTTGATGGGTAGGGTGGGAGAAATTGTATTATTCACAGAAACATATTGGAGCCTGTCAGTAAGGTAGGACTCGAGGTATTGTAGGGAGTGTCCTCTGACTCCATAATGATGTAACTTAAGAAGAAGGTTATGGTGGTTGACAGTATCAAAAGCTTTACGCAGGTCCACAAATAACCCAACAGGGAACTCCTTTTTATCAAGAGCTGTATGAATCGAGTTAAGCATACTAATAAGTGCATCGTTAGTGCTTTTTTTGGGTCTGAAGCCATATTGGCAAGGGCTAAGTATATTGAGTTTGGCTAGATATGAGTAAAGCTGCTTGTATATAAGTTTTTCAAAAATTTTTGACAAGTTTGGCAGGATTGATATAGGTCTGTAGTTGTTAACATCTGTGGGTTCACCACATTTGTGGACAGGCGTTACTCTCGCTTTTTTTAGAATATCTGGAAAGGTTTGGAGTTCAAGTGACTTGTTGAAGAGCAAAGCAATAGCAGGGGCTAAAGATCTGGAGGCTTTTTTGTAAATTAAAGTTGGTATCTCCTCAAGGGCACCAGACTTGGTTTTAAGGGAAAGGATTATCTCATTGACGTCAGTGGAGTTAATAGGCTTTAGGTACAGAGACTGTGGATAGTTACCTGTAAGATAGTCCTTAATGTCAGTACTGGAAGATGGAATATCATTTGCAAGGGATAAACCAATGGAAGAGAAGAACCTATTAAACTCAATAGCAGAATCAGAGGCTGAAAGCTGACCATCGTTATTAGACAGGAGAGTCGGTTTGTTATTTAAAGATTTCTTTGATCCCAATATTTGTGAAATTGTGCTCCAAGTTTGTTTAATGTTGCTCTTTATTTGAGTAAATTTATCTTCGTAGTAATTAGTTTTGGCTCGTCTAATTATCTTAGATAGCAATAATGAGTAATTCTTTGAGAATTCTTTGGAGACAATTCCTAACCTATACTTCTTCTCAAGGTCGTGTTTTTTGTTAATGGATTTCAGTATTCCCTTTGTAAGCCAAGGATTGTTAAGCCTTTTGCTTGTGACTTGTTTTGTAAGCCTAGGACAGTGGGTGTTATAAAGGCTAAGAGTTGTTTGTAGAAAAGATTGCACTGCTAGGTTGATGTCCCCTATGTTACCTAACTCGGACTCCCAGTTGACATTATCAGCAGCAGTTATAAAATTGTTTATAGCAGTTTCATTGTGCAGCCTAAAGCTTAACTCCCTTGTTTCTAGAGGTGGTTTGCTAATGTTAGTTAAGAGAAATGTGGGGTAGTGGTCTGTAGTGCTATCGGTGATTATACCTGAAGTAAGCGGAGAGGTTATGTTGGTCCAGATGTGATCTAGAGTCGTGGCAGTGCTATCAGTGATTCTAGTAGGTCTAGTGATTAATGGTATGAGGAGGCAGGAATTCATACAGTTGAGGAAGCTAACAGCAGTAGGGTGTTCTGGCTCGCAGAGGTCAATATTAAAGTCCCCTGCGATAATTAGGTGGTTTTTGTTCAGTCTGTTATCAAGTATTAGATTTCTAAGGTTTGAGTTGAATCCAGACACATCAGTGTTGGGAATTCTATAGACTGCACCCACAGACAGGACAGACTCGGCACCCTTGACTCTGAAGCTGGCGAAGATATACTCCCCATAGCAGTCTCTAGTTCTAATTTCTTTTAAGCATGTTAGTTCTTGGTGGTAGTAAAGAGCAGTGCCACCACCTCTCTGAAGTTGACGACAGTTGTGAATTGCTGAGTAGTTAGGCATGTTAAAGAGTTGAGTAGTATCCTCTTTCAACCATATTTCAATTATTACTAATAATAATCTTTGTCAGACAACACAACCCCCTAAACATGCTAAACATACATTACTCCACACATTCTCTTGTGCTATTTACATTTACAAAACCTTGTTCCTAAATACTAATCCTGATCTGAAACTTCCTTGATAGATGTAATAGAACCCATGAGCACCACACCAAAAGTAAATAAATATCTTTGATGTCTCCAGAGACAAACTAAATCTGTGCAAATACTCCACGCAAATACAAGAACCCAGTCTATGGCACTCACTCCCTAATGAATTAACAAATTGTCCAATCTATGCCTTATTCAAAAGTAAAACCCAAAAGTACTTAACGTAATTTTATCCTCATTGTTTCCTACTTTGTGCTTTAAGCTCTCACTGTATCTTGTGCTACCCACTCTCCCAATATTAGTACTTAAGACATGCAATTTCATCAGTGTAATCATTTCCATCAGTTTATATTGTAGTTATTATATTGAACTCAAATTCTACTGCAATGTACCTATTAATACATGATCTTGCCTTATCTTTTAGATTAAGGACCTTTCTGAAATGCTATGCGTGTTAGTAGCTTTCCAAGTACTGTATGTAAGAACACCAGTGTTATGTACTTTCACAAACACAATGTACCTTCTCGTATATGAATAAATCAATATTGGCTTAACTGGTTAAATTCCTCTAGGTTAAGTATTGTCTACATTTTTTCATTGTTAATAAATGCATTACTCAAATAAGTTTCAACAAGTTCATAACACATGAGTTAGCTATGCAGATGATATACAGTATCTATGTACACATTCAAATCTTAATTTGCATTCAGTACACAGCCTCTGGTATTAGTGCCCATGTAATCACCTCATAAAAAAATGTACAAGTTGCAAATTGGTAAATGTAGTTGGATTTGTTACACCCTACATTGACCATAAAATTCTCTGCAACAGGTGGTACATGCCAAATGTCTGCTCTTCCTC